ACACTGAAGAGGGTCTTTTAGTTGGTCTGAAGAGGGTACTAATTTGCCTCATTTGAGTTTATAGAATAATAAAGGAAGTATAAGGGGTTGATACTATGGCATAGCAAATCAAGCTACCATATCTACTTCTAATCCATCTCCATACTAATGTGCCAGAGAAGGCAGGCTCATGGGCCAGTTGCTTAGAACCCTACACACAGGGGAGCCTCAGAAGAAGCTCCTGGCTGCTGGCTCCTGGCTTTTATAAAGCTTAGACCTCACCTTTGCTATCATTTGGCAAGTGAACCAAGGGGTGGAAGACCCCTCTCGCTGTAATTTTGCCTTTCAAATATATAAAACAAATCTCTAAAAATGTCAGATTTTGAATCTTAAAGCAATTTAAGACAAGCTTCTCTTAAAATCATTGTTTATCCTATATTTTTGAAAATACCACAAAAATCAAGTGATCTGCAATTTCAGAGGAAAACAAATAACAATAATTGGAACACTTAACATGGGAAATTCACCATCTAAGAATGTATTTAGCAGAAATGTGGTAGATCTATTGTCAGCATCTGTCATGGAGAGAAGCTGGCATCTCTGTCCTCATGGAAATGAGACAATAGGTCACAGAAATATTGTACATGTGTCAAAGTTGGGAGGAGAGTTAAATAAGCAGTGCCAGATTCACCCCTGACAGTCCTGGGTAGCCATTAACAATACTTGAATGTATGTGAACTTCTAAGATTAGAAGGACATCCATTGGGGCTGGTGCAGTGGCTCAACAGGCTAATCAACATCCCATATGGCCACCCATTCATGTCCTGGTTGCTATAGTTCCAACCTAGATCCCTGCTAATCCTGGGAAGGCAATGAAGGATAGCTCAAGTCTTTTGGCCCCTGTACCCACATGTAAATCCAGAGAGGTTCTGGGTTCCTGGCTGCAGATCAGCTTGGTTCTGCCAACCATGACCACTGGGGAGTAAACGGGCAGATGCAATAGCTCTCTCTCTCTTTCCCAATCTCTCCTTCTCTCTGTAAAATCAGCCTTCCAAATAAAAATATGTAAACATTTTAAAGGCTATGTGTTAACATCTTACAGAAAAAGGATAATCTCTAGGCAATTATATTAGGATGTGGATGTATTTTAGCATGTGGATGTATTTCTGTAGTTTTCAAACATCCTGTAATGAATACCAATAAAAAAGTAACATCTGTATTAGAGTTTCAGAGAGCAGCAAAGAGACAGAGAGAGCTTGTATTTGCTGGTTCACTTCTTTGATGGCTGTAACAGCAGCACTGAGCCAGAGCCAAAACAGGAATTTAGGAACTTGATCTGGGTCTTCCTCATGAATGGCAGGAAGCCAAGTACTTGAGCCATCACTGCTACCTCACTAGTAGAAACCCGCAGTTGGGAGCTGTACCTGGATACTCAGCCCATATACTCTGATGTGATACCTAGGCATCTTAACAAACAGGTTAAATGCCTGTTCTCAAAGTTTTTGGAAATTACTTGGGAGCATCAGTGATACCCAGAATAATTATCTGGGCTGTAAAAACAATTTTGATCATAGCAACACATTGATGTGCCATTTATTTCAATAGACTTAAGAGTTTTGAACAGCAGAATGCATTCCAAAATATAAATAATCAGCATGAGACTAAAGAACACTTTATTCTTTGTTGACTACTGCACAGAAGACAGGCTATATATATCCTTTTGTTAGAATCAACTGCACTCAAGTGTTAGAGTTTCCAAAGGCAAACAAACTGTTCTGGGGTATAAAATATTACTGTTATATGGTTTAACTTCTCACAAAAACTTAGAGCCAGCTGCCATTTCTCCTTCTGCCACCACAGCCAATGCACTGCTTAGTGTCTTGCATCCAAATCCTGAAGGCAATTCTATTTCTAAGTCATTAGAGATAAAAATGAATTGGAAACAAAGTGGAGATTTATAGTTAACAGCCTCAATGCTTTCTTTGGCAAAGAACATGAGAAACCATCATGATTTTATGTTTTATAAAGCCAACTGACTTCTAGGGCCAAGAGTTTCCTCCACTTAGAGTGTGATGGTTTCTCTAGTCTGGCTGACTGCCTTTCCTGCACTGTGGTGATTTGACATAGGACAAGGAGATAATCAGTGCAAGTTTTTCAACCTCAATAACACTGACATTTTGAGCTGGATAATCTTTTGTTGTGTGTAGAGGATGTCTGGGCAAGATATTCTATAGCTTCCCTGGCCTCTATCCATCAGATGCCAGGTGTCTGTTTCTCTCTCTCTCTCTCTCTCTCTCTCTCTCTCTCTCTCTCACACACACACACACACACACACACACACAGAGTTATGCCAAATGTTTAGATTCCAAACATCTCCAGACATTATTAAACGATCCCTAAAGGAAATCATGTGGACAAACAATTGGATTATATACCCAAAGCTGACTTTTCCACATCCTTTAAAAAATGTTTTGACCTTCCTATCATACAGAATGGGCTGCTCCGCCTGTCACATGAACTTGTTTGGCCTCTGGCTGAGATGGTTTGGTCAAAGGCTGCCATGTTGACCCTAACTGGAGGCATCATATTCTGTCTTCTTAGAAAATGCATTGAAGAAACAGGGCCCTGAATCTATACCATTATGCTTAATGAGATTAGAGTGGGAACCACAGACATAAAAGCCATATACAATTTATGAATTTATTTATGGGAGTCAAAATGCAAAGTCCTCAAGAGGGACTAGGTCCTCCAAGTGCAGGATAGCAATCAGAGTTAGTGTGTTCCATTAAGAAAGAAAACAGATAGTAGTTGCATGATTTTAGAAACCACATGAGAATGGGCTGGATTTCTTGCAATTGATTCACAAAGAGTTTTCAAGTTTCTTAAAGTCACTTATCCTTTACTTGCCCTGGCTTGAGTATGTTTCTCTTTCTAACAATCTCCTGATTCATAACGAAAAATACCTAATACATGCTGATCTAGAAGGTGTCCTTCTTTGTCTGGATTCAGAGGAAGAGCAATGGATCCTTAGCTAAGAGATCCATGCTTTGTGTTCTGTCCTGGGATGCTATGCTAATGAATCATTTCTCTGAGTCCTGATTTTAGAACTGTAGAATCTGACCAACTCACACACTACTAAAATACTGTGATAAAGGTGGACAGAGACATATTTAGCCCATTTAAATTTCAGACTCATTGGAGGTGGTGGGAAAGAGTTGGCATGAGTGTCTGTTACTCTGGGCTCAGAAGTCAGTCAAGCCCTGGGACCACTGGAACATTGAGTAGCCCTAGTAAATCCCCAGTTTATTCACACCTAAAATGAAGAGATCAGGTTTCTTACAGTAATCAGCCTATATGATGAGCTTAAATATTCCTGCCTGTTGGTATAGTTTTTTGAAAGGATGAGAGGCAGAGGAAGAGAGGGCTGGAGGAAAGGAGGGATAGAGAAAGAGAATTACTTGCTTAATTATTTACTTACTTACTTACTTAATTCTACATTGGATCACTCCCTAAATGCTTGCCATAATTAATGCTGGACCAGACTGACATCAGGAACCAGGAACATAATCCAGGTCCCTCCCATGGGCCCTAAGCACCTGAGTCTTCACTGCTGCATCTCTGGGTACATATTATCAGAAAACTAGAATGAGGAGCAAAAGTCAAGACATAACCTCAGTTGCAACAACATAGGCTGTGGGCACGCTAAGCAGCAGTATAACAGCTATATTGCAAATCTGCCCTTTGGCTGCTGACCTTTAAGTCCTGATAGCCCATTTCTACACTGAAAGGGGCTGGCTAGGGGTAACAAAGAGGGTACTTTGTCAAGGATCAAATGTAACTTGGCTGCTATGTATAAAGAACACGGCTGACTTCTGTGTTGTTTTCTAGTATTACTACCTGCAAGGGAAGCCAACCATCAGCTATTGACAACGCCAAGCTCCTACAGAAAGGTATACATGCAAACAACTGAGGCTACCTGCCAAAATCCAAATAAGAATCATTTTGTAGCCAAATTCAGAATTAGTCAAATCTTGAGAACTTAATCAGTCATGGGAGAGAACCTGAGGTTGAAACCCAGCATGACTGAGTTCTTGATACATACACACTGTGAAATAATTTTTACTGTTTTAAAATTGTTAAATAAGGGATAATTTTATTATACAGTAATAGTAAAAAATACTATTTTATAGGGTTCCTGAGAGGGTTAAGCAATATCAAATAGGAAATGTTTATTACAGTACTTAGCACAAGGTAAACACTCAGGACAATTCTATCTGTTCATCATTATGTCCAAGGTACCTACATTACTATCTGGCATACAACAAATGCTCATTAGGTACTTATTGAATGAATATTAGGTATTGCTACCCTTTAGTAGCACCACTATAATCATCATCCTATGTAATCTTAATCCAAAATCACCTAAATCAACCAGCCCCTTGAGTTTCTTAACTGGAAAAAAATTCCCTTATTTCCATCTTCAAATTCCCTTACTTATAACACATAACTATTTGAACATCCCAAAACCATACACCTTAATCTATTCTTTGTTGCTCTGACAGAATACCCCAGACAGTATAATTTACAATGAACAGAATTTCACTGGCCCACAATTTTGTTGGCTTGAAAGTTCAAGATCAAGGCACCAGCAGATGCACTATCACATGGGAATGTTGAATGGCAAGAGCACACGAGGGAGCTGAACTCATGCCTCCACATGAAATCAATGTCTCTCATAAGGATGGTACCCTCATGGCTCAATACCTCTCAAAGGACCCACTTCCCCATCCTGCTGCCACATCACATTTCATCAAGAGTGTTGGCAAGGACAAACTATCAGATCTAACAGGAAAGTACCAAAAGGGCCAACTATTTGGTGAGGGTTAGGATGAGGACAATTTTCTGGCATTTGCAAGGTATCTTATTAATCGACCTAAATCATACTTACAATGAAACAAGAAGATCTATCACGTGGAGTGAAAACATAGATGTGCACATTGAGAATCAGGCCAGCCACTTACCATCCACACAGGAAGGTCTGTTTCTCGTGGTTCCCGCCACTTTCCCAGGGAGACAGGAACACTTCACTGTTTGCGACCGCTCTTCAATGCGGTTCTTGTTGCAGCATCTGTGTGCAGCAATCACCTCACACGTCCCTCCTTCTGGCAAGACAGAGACAACAGGGTGACTGACATTGGTGAGGAAACACTCAGAGGCTGCTCAGCATCAGGGAGGCCGATAAGCCTGCAGCAATAGTTTTCTGGAGACATAATTAAGAAGGAAATCCCTTTCATTATGTAAGATCCTGGAGAAGGCAGTACTACATGTCTGTCCTCAAATAGCACTGAGCAACACCAGTGAAGAGTCCTCAGGATGAGACAGTTCTGGGTTTCATTAGCTGGGAGGTAGTGAAGCAGCAGCCTGGATCTAACATGAAATAAAAACATTACCTGATATAAACCTGATGTGTGTGAGTGTGTATAGAGTGGCAGAGAGAGAGAGAGAATCTTTTATTTGTTGGGTCACTCCCTGAATACTCCCAACAAACAAGGCAGGGCTAGGTTGAGGACATGAGGACAGTGGCCGGAAAAGTCCATTCAGGTGTCCCCTACGGGAGGCACAGGTACAAGGATTTTGGCCATATTATACTGTTTCTTTCCCAGACACATGCACAATATGCTTGTTCATATGTATAGCATTAACAAAACAAACTGGCACTCTGACACGGTATGCTAGTGTTGCAGGAATTGATACATCTTCTATACTGCAACACTGCTCTCTCTCCATATATTATATTTTGGGCACACTCAGCTGTGTTGATTTGAGTTGAAACATTCTCTGAGCTACCACTAATGCCAAGGAACTTCAGCTCTTTTAGTCCAGAATCTACAGTGCTGGGAAGACTGCCCGGAAACTGGCTCGCCCTCACACTGCGTACCACACTCAAAAAGGCAAGATAGAAAATCAGTTTGAGACTCATGTTCAAAACTCAGACCTCAGTCACAACTAAATAAAGACTTGGTGAAGAAAATAGGTATGTGCTATAAACAGCATGTCCAATTGCAGGCCTGGGCATATGGCTTCATTTAAATTATTACAGCACATCCATGCACTCATCCACATTTGTTAGCAACTTAATGTATGTCAATCAGCAGGTGAATGGTTGGGTCTGTCGAAAGGCTGATGAGCAATCAAATCAATCTTCCCAGCCTACAGGAAGTCACTCAAGCCAGATCTCTAGTTATGAATAGACAGGAGATATTCCCAAATGACCAGACATCAGAAACCAACTTTCCCAGCATCAAGTTTTAAATTCAGGAAGAATGGTTTTTGATTTGACCAAAATGAGCTCATTACATTTAAGATTCTTGGCATTGAGGATTCAGTTGGCAGAAATACCAGCAAGCATTTGTTAAGCAACCATGATATACAAATTACTGTGCAATAAACTGTAAAGGATTTATATATGTGCTATAAACACATAAAATACATATGGATATGTAAGAGAGATTTTTTAAAAAGGCATGTGTAGAAGTGAAGGGAGAAAGAGCCCAGATACAGCTTCATTTGGTCCTCTGAGAATTCATAGCCCATTGTTGAGTAGACTGTGAATTTGGTCCACCTGAATAATATCTGGCAACATTGGAGATAATTTTGATTGGCATCACTGACATGCTGCTGGCATCCTGTGAGTGGAAAGTAAAAATACTTGCTATACAACATGCAGTGCCCGGAATGGCTTCCTAAAATGAAGAATAACCTGGCTCAAATCATCAATGATGCTTAGATGGGAACCTCTGATCCAATTGGAAAGAATCCTACACATGAGCCTCTGACTTGGGACAGATGAATTGTCTCACTGTCTCTTTCAATGGAAGGGGCTGTTCTGGCTTTCAAACTAGCCTGGACAGCTTAAATCTTTGATCAGTCCCTATTTATCTGAATATAGCAGTTTCCTCATTTGTAACATGGGGATGAGAATAACACTTGTGTCATGGGTTTGTGTGATGATAAACCAGGAGAAAATGTACAGAGATTAACTTTCAGCCTTAAATACTCAAGCAAGTCCATAAATATTATCAATGGTAATAATATCCTGTGTGACTGGTTTATTGATTTAGTTCTTGGTGCCACCTACCCTTTGTCCTCAGAAATTTCAAAAATACATTTTTTTTGCAGGAATATTCTTCCTCACGTTCCATCCCTTCCTTTCTCCACCTCATTTCAACATGGCTACACTCTTCTAGTTTAATTTCCTTAGAATTAAAAGTTGGACTTCTTAGAGACTGCTTTCTCCCTTCCATCCCTATTCCTCATTAACACTGCCTGGTTATGTGTATTCTCATCTGTGCCCTGAGTTAAACTCCACTTGGTCAAGACAGGGTCAAGGTCATTATCTCCTCACATTTCTAGGACCCTTGGCTGGTATAGGGGCTACATAACCATTGGTAGAATAGATGAATAGTTGAATTAACTAAAAATACAGTGAGCAGCAAGTTTCATGGAACCCCTGTGGTCTCAAAAAAATTCTGAAAAATGCACAGTATGAGAATTATCACAAATTTCATTTTTTTTACATCAAAACAAACATAGCTTTTAATTCAGTTCCTCCAAAATAGCTATTGTGTGATTTGTGAGTCAGAAAATTAATAAGAAAAAAAGAACTTTTTTTGAATGCATGAAAACACAAAACAAAAATATCAACCCCATATGGATGTTGTATTTTGCACGAAGTTTACCTTATATCAAAGATAACATATGATATGTGTCCTTTTGGGATTGACTTATTTCACTGAACATAATGGTCTCTAGTTGGCACCATTTGATTGCACATGGCAGAATTTCATTCTTTGTAACAGCTGAATAGTATTCAATGGAGTAGGTATACCATACGGGGTGTTTCCATGTCTTTGCTATTATATATTGTGCTGCTGTAAACATAGGACTACAAATCTCTTTTTTTTATATGCAGATTTTTTTTTTCTTTTGGATCTATTCCCAACAGTGGGATAGCTGGGTCATACAGCAGGTCAACCTTACATTGTAGGTATGGACAATAGCAGAAAGTCCAGCGTGTCTTATTGTAGAGATATTTAACAGCGTCTTTGGGAGTTCATCTTTGGTTTGGAAGTAGAAGTGCATACTGCATTGCATCTTCACAATCAGTTATGACAGTTCCTAGCACATAGTTACTATACTATAATGAAGCACTTTTAAACACACTTTATTTTATGACAGTGTTAGATTTTCAGAAAATTTGTCAAGATTATACCAAGTTCACCAGTACTCTATAGAATCTGCTGTTTTTATCTCCTCATTGCTAATAGCTTACATTAATAGGGTCCTTTTTTTATATATTTTGAGTCAGTATTGGCATTTTTAAATTAACTATGGCCTTCATTCATAATTCCTTGGTTTTTACCTCATGCCCTTTACTGTTTCAGGTTCTCAGCAAGGATGCCACATTTTATTTAGTTGTCTTATTTCTTTACCACCTTGACAGTGCTGGGTAATATTGCGCCCTCTGCTGGTATTTGTCTAATACTTTTTTTCTCAATTAGAGCTACATGTTTTTGGAGGGATCCCACAGAGGTGAAGTACCATTGTCATCACATCATATCAAGGACATATCCTGTCGGCATGATCTTCACTGTTAATTTTGACATTGTTCACTTGGCTGAAATAATGCTTCTCCGTTTCTTCACTGAAAACTTCAAATACCGGGCCTGGCGCGGTGGCGCAGTGGTTAAGGTCCTCACCTTGCACGCCCAGGATCCCATATGGGCGCCGGTTCTAATCCCGGCAGCCCTGCTTCCCTATAGCTCCCTGCTTGTGGCCCGGGAAAGCAGTCGAGGACGGCCCAAAGCCTTGGGACCCTGCACCCACGTGGGAGACCCGGAAGAGGCTCCTGGCTTCGGATTGGCATAGCATCGGCCGTTGCGCTCACTTGGGGAGTGAATCATCGGACGGAAGATCTTCCTCTCTGTCTCTCCTCTCTGTATATCCGCCTTTCCAATAAAAAAATAATAAAAATAAATCTTTAAAAAAAAAAAAACTTTTGCAGATGAGCTCAGCACACAGCTCTGCTTTATGCTCAGAGCTCACCTTTATTTACTGGGTTCTCACATGGATGTTGGTCATGAACTTGGCACTTCATCTATGTTATCTTCACAAAATTTTGTCCCAATTTTACAGATGAAAAGCTAAGGTTCATGGAGGCTAATTACCTTGCCTAGAGTCTTACTACCATGACCCAAATCTATTAGACTGCAACATTTTGGTCATGTCATGAGCAGTCATTCCTTGTTTAAGACAAACATCCAAAGCAAAGTTATCAAGATTAAGTGTACTAAAAAAATCTATATATATTTTTTTATATATATATATATAGTAGGTTGTTATCAAGATTTAGTGTACTAAAAAAAAAAAAAAGATTAGGTTTTGTAGCCCCATCCCACCTCTGAACACACCTTCTAACCTCATCAACCATCATTCTTTCTTCTGCTTCCTTTTCCTCCCTAAATAATGGGTCAATGGGTCACCCTGCTGGTTACTGCCAGAGCATGCCAGGCACAACTTTCCAGAGGGTCTGCATCACTTGGGACACTTTTAGCACATTTATGATTCACTCTCTCACCTCTACATTTTGGTCCAATATCACTGCGAGAGGCACACCTGACCAGTCAATTTAAAATAAGTCCTAATTTCCAATCTGGCATTCATGAGTTCCCTTTGTTTTTTTTTTTCCTTTTTCCCTCCACAGCATTGATGACTTTCAAATATATCATATATTATTTATTACACTTATTGTCTGTGTGTCTCCCACTGGAATGTAAACTCCTCAAGGACAGGGATTTCCATCACTGTACACATTAAATAATAGCTAGCATACAGTCAGGATATAAATAGGGCTTTTATACATATTTCACATCAATCTTCAAGAGCATTTAATGACAGATAGGGCTATTATCAGCCCATTTTCTAGCAAGGATATAGATTTAGAGAAAATGACATAGCTGCTTAACTGAGAATGATAATAGCATTAAAGAGTTAATAATTTATTGGATTTTTCCTTTGTGCTTGACACAAAAGTAGACAGATTATAAGTCTTTAATTCATTTTACACTAATAAGAGCCCAATAAATTTATGACTACTCTCTCT